CTGCCATGCGCATCGGAAGGTTCTCGGACGTGTCTGCCATTATAGCGGGGCTAGAATGTTATCGACACCACCCAATGAACCGAACAATGAAGAGTGGTCTGAAATTGACGGTGGACGCGTGAAAGTTGCGAAAGGTTCAGCATCGAGCGGGGTTGATTGAACTAAGAGATCTGATGACTAATACCAGTAGTGCGTCCCAATCTTCAACAGCCATCATTCATCAATCGTACAGCAACAGACTAGATTCTGTCTTCGTTCCCTTCCCTGCTCCACCAAGCGTATTTGAGAGTGTTGTACCCTTCCCCCTTTTGCCATACCTCACTCTTTGCTCCTCCCGATTTGGGGGTTAATTTGGAGGTCATCCTCTCGCATTGCTGATTTCTCCAGCTCTAAACGACATGATGGCTTTGCTATCTATTTTCTTAGAGCCGGAAAAACCAGCAACGTGAGAGTCATCTTAGTTCTTGATAAGCTCGAGTCCTGGGACGCTACTAAAGAGGAGGCAGAACGAACCCAGGACACTGTGGTACCATGGAGAATCGAAAAGGAGGCTATCTAGAAACAGGCGATGGATTGGCTGACCTTGATAATCAAAGCAAATGATTCTCCAGATTTCCCGTGGGTAGGTGGTGGGTCTGCATCCTTTCAACTCAAGATACCTCTGGGATACACCACATGTGTTCCAGTCCCTTGAATGTCCACTACAGGCTTGTCCTTTACTCCCCGGTGGCAGCGGAATCAAAGTGATTGATAAGTGGACGGGACGAGATTCATAAGCTTTCAGCTACCTACTGTCACCAGTTCCGTCGTGTGCAAAGAATTTTTCCGGGACGCAATCACCTCAACGCAGCCAAGACCCCGGACCGACCGCAGTTTGTTCAGCTGTCCGCCGTGCTTGGAACCTCCATCATCTCGTTTGTCCGGAGGTCAGCGGAACTGCCAGTGAACTCACGATACACATCGTCAAGTTCAGTGGTGGAAATTGGTTTCCCGAAGGGCCAAGACCCTACGTGCCGAGGTGAAACGAAGGTTAGTCTTGGTATGAACCACGTGATGTACATTGTACTCTTTAGCATCATCGAGAGCACGACTACTACGGAAGGTGAATACAGAATATATAGCATTGATTGGTCGTTCTCGGGGGCCATATTGATTCCTCTTGTCAGTCATTCCCCTGGTCACTCAACACAAGAAAAACATTTCCTCTGTCCTGCCAAGCGTCCAAGTCGTGCTACTCGACTCCTCCAATCAAAACATTATGTAGTGCGACTTTTGTTTCGAGATCCAAACTTCCATACAGGGAGCATGGCTGACCTTTGGGGCACCGTTGTCTCGGAGCACCCCTATACGGACAATGCAAGGATATATAACAATCAGCAACATGCACCACACTACACTGCCCAGTAGACACGGCTCACTCTCCATTCGCTTCTCCAACTCTACTTCACTCTTTCATTCTCTTGAAGCCAACACTCGTTTTGCAACATGCTTTCTTCTACTCAGATAGTCAGCCTCCTGGCCATTCTGCCCTCAGCCATGGCATGCCTAGGCTATACCGGCGGCCTGCCAAAAGCAACATCAACAAAAACCAATTCTAAGGTCATCGAGGTTGCTGCGGGCAAGACATTCGATGGGCAATGGGCCAAATATGATCGCGGAAGTGGTGCCTGCAGCGGGCAAGCTGAAGGAGGCAAGCTTCTCGTTCCTTCCTCCAAAGTACGTCCACTAACACCATCCAGGCGACGCGGACGCCGTCTTCATCCTGCGCAACGGCGCTACGCTGAAAAATGTTATCATCGGTAAGAATCAGGCCGAAGGCGTGCACTGCGACGGTGCGTGCACACTCGACAGTGTGTGGTTCGAGGATGTGTGCGAGGACGCGATATCCGTCAAGAACGACAATGCAGGTCAGGAGACGTGGATTATTGGGGGAGGCGCTTACCACGCGAGCGATAAAGTCGTGCAGCACAACGGATGCGGTACCGTGAACATCATCAACTTCTACGTCGAGGATTATGGCAAGCTATACCGGAGTTGTGGAAATGTGAGTTTTCGCCCTTTGCTAGCGTATTTTATCCTTCCCTTGCTTTCACCTTCTTCACTTCTGCCTCGCCTGTAATTGGTGAGTGATAGAGTGTCTTTGCTAACGAGAAAGTAGTGCAAGTCTCAGTGCAAGAGAAACGTCTACATCGAGGGCACGACCGCGAAGAACGGTGGCACGCTTGCTGGTATCAACTCGAACTATGGGGATACGGCGACGCTGAAGAATGTCTGCTATGATACTGCTCATCCTTGCACCATGTTCAAAGGCAACAATAACGGCGATGAACCTACGAAAACCGGCTATTGCACTGGTAAATAATTGCTCACTGTAGCTGCTGGTGGAAGCCAGGGTACTAGTCTCTTGAGGGAACATTGGCTTGGTAGTTCGATTCATTGTGAAAATAATCTGGAGGTGTGTATGTAGTTTGTTTGGAGATTTATGATATAACCTCATCAGCATAGCCCAGAAGGAGCATTCTATCACTATAACTCATAGCTTCTTTGAGGGTGCGACGCCCGATCCTTACTATGAATGCTAGTCTTTTTGACAGATGGTGGAATCTGTCATCTGAGAAGACTCGCAGCTCTTAAAGACCAAGGTCACTGATTCTGTATTCCCAATTGATTTTTGCCCCACCAAGCAGTCTTCTGAAAATCGTGTCTGTCGAAAATTCAGCACTCTTATCTTACGTACGAACGCAGCTCTCGCGCGAGTCTCATTCATTGATCAGAGCGCCTTCCTCTGGGAAAAGTTTCCGCCACATCCAAGCACTGTCACAGGCTCGCTTCATGTTTTGCTCTGCGGCTATGTAAGCATTTGCAGGTTATACCGTAGAACCTTTAGAAAGAAGTTTTGCTGGGCCCAATCTAGATAGGGTTTCTGGCCAGTAGGACAGCTGGAATCCGGGAAAATTGGGGCTAATCTAAAGCCAATTATCTGGGGTAATAAGACCCACATATTATTAAGCCTTGAAATTCTACCAACCAAAGTTCTAAGGCCCACTATCTAGATCGGGCCTAGTAAAACTCCTCCATGAGAGATTTTAGGTACCAAATCCCGCATAGGGCGAAGACCCTCGTGGAATGAGTGATTCTAGGACCTTCTAAGAAAAGATATGTTCCAATAGTGGGGCAGTTCATTTACAAACCTGTCAGCCCGATGGTCTAGCGTACTCCCACTTTCCGAAGTGGGTCTAGTATAGAGGATCTGAGCGAGTTGCAATGAACAAGAATGATATTTCAGAACCATCACACGCAAGCTCTCATACTTACGGTCGTTTTCCACTCATCTGTTTGCTATTCATCTATCCAACAACATAGTGAAGAGACGCATCAGGCAATATATACAACAATTATGTCTAGAACAAAGACCGCACAGACACCTCCAGACAGAATCGTTCCTCTACACTTTTTCGACGATGGACCTTTATGGCGAGCGTTCATACTCTACTCTATGTTTGTGTTCGATGGTGTTCTCGACGCGGAAAAGCTAAGATCAAGTCTCGAACAGCTTACGCGAAGGGAGGGATGGTGGAAATTGGGAGCGCGCTTGAGGCAGAGTGTAAAGATCCCAATGCAATGAAAGTTGATGGCCATAAGAGTGCAGGAATTGACATCTATGATTACAGAGAAGTGAGACCCTAGAATACCACATACCTTCATCCTTCAGCGCAGAACGGCCCTCACTCGCATACTCCCACATAAAACACGATATGCCTGCGGCCGAACATCCTCAGGCCGCTCGGATACCCAGAGCTTCAAAAATCCCGTCTGTCGTCGGAAATCCAGACGATCTGCCAGGCTTGATGCGACCTGAAGGTGGACCTTTGAAGCTCGGCGACTACATCAATACCGACAGACCCCAACTTGGCTTGCACATTGTTTCTTTTACTGACACGACGCTCGTAACGATCCATTGGCCCCACACTATGTGCGACGCCATGGGGAAGAAGACGATCCTCGATGCTTGGACACTAGTCCTCGAAGGTAGAGAAGACGAGGTACAAGCGCCCCACGGTATGGAATTCGACCCATTCTCGAAGCTTGGTGTAAATCCTCCAGAGCCACATAAACTAGTGCCACAGCAACTGGGCATGTTCGGGCTGTTGGGCTTCGGCGTAGGACTAGTGCCAACAGTCCTACGTCAGCAGGAAACTCGCATGGTATGCGTCCCGCGATCGTTTGTTGAACGACTTCGCAAAGACGCCATTGCACAACTTGCTGTCGCCGATAATGCCAGCGAACCGCCATTTCTGAGTGAGAACGACGTCCTTTTCGCGTGGTGGACAAAACTCGCTATCGCCCATCTACCGCAGAATTCAACGCGGACCGTGAACTTGAACAACGCGTTCGACATGCGAAAGCGATTGAAACCAGATATCTTCCCTGAGGGAGCGACTTACCTTTCGAATGGAGTGAGCTTCATCAATGTCCTCCTCAAGGTAAAAGACATCGCAGACAAACCTGTCAGTTATACCGCGTCAGCAATCCGGAAATCCATCAACGAACTTGGGACACGCGAACAAGTCGAAGCATTCCAGGGGCTAGTCAGACAGGGACCCGGAAAACTACCACCCTTCTTTGGCGACAGGAACATGCACCTTCTGACATATTCGAATTGGACCAAAGCGGACCTTTTCTCGCTTGATTTTTCTGCGGCGCGTCGAGATGCGGGTGACGCGTTGCGTCGGACTGCTTGCAAGCCGCGATATATACAGAACAACCATTTTGGTCAGACTATGCCTAATGCATTTCCAATCATTGGGAAGGATAACGATGGGAACTACTGGCTGTCGGGATATATGAACAAAGGCCATTGGGCTCGGATCGAGGAATTGCTCGCGAAAGAGACGTAATTTTTACGATCTGCGCAGCTGGAGAGTGCGATCTTATTCCGTAATATGGATAGGGAGTATCGTACGATTCGGCTTCTGCCAGAGCTGAAGAGACGAGATAGATATTGAAGAGAAAGAGCCATACAGACACCAGTGTTCATAATGGGTGCCACGTGTTCGTATGCATCAACCGCTCCGTAGTCTTCCTCGATATCTTGCTCCTGAATGATAGCTGGATCTCGTCAAAATCCCTTCACACCGCTTGCCATGATCCCCACTATCTTCATCGTCTGGCGCTCATTCTGTTCTGCAAGAGACGGGGAAAAGAAATCCGCCTCTTTCATACGCACCCCAGCAATGCTAGCCAAAGGCTCGGAGGAAGCGACAGCATCCCAGGTGTGGTAAGCGACCATGCACCAGTGCTTAGATCTTTGGAGGGAGATGGCGTCTATATGCTGGCCGCATACTGCAGGAGGGTACTTCTAGAGCGTCCCAGCGAGTTGAGGTGTCAATCTTTGCTTGGTGCTATAACTGGCCCACTCTTTGGATATTATAGTGACTCAGTATCCATAATCTAACAGGACCCAGGCAGTCACTAAGCCAGTGACACCTTTGCCTACCATCAGGACTCTCAACGAGGTGTTGGTGGGAGCCCGAAGTGGTTCCGGGAAGGGATGTAGATCTCGCCAGAAGACCATTGAGCTGTTCGGAGCGAAAGTCATGGTAGATGGTGGATTTCCAAGTGCAAAGGGGTCGTGAGAAACCCGAGGATGTGGGTGCAGGATGCAGGATCAAGATATATAATCCGAAATCTAGAAGTGTGTCGAGGGTTATACATAGTGTTTCATAAAGCTACGTGCGTAGGACATAAGGCTTGCAAGCCTCAAACGCCTACATCCATCGTCGCGTGTCCTGATGTCGGTACTTTCCATCTGACACCAGCAAATAATTCGTCCAGCTTCTCCGACTCGGTTTTAGGAACACATGGAGCCAGGTGTCCGTCGTATTCAGTCGCACAATCAAGCCAGCGAGGGGAGGGACTCGAGTTCCTGATCTATCTTTAGAAAAGAAGCGAGTGTAGCAGCACCATTTAAAGGAGGTCTAAATGACGTGAACCTCATGGGATGAATGCTCTATCGATCGTTACACAAGGAAAGAGGGCTCGAGCTGATAGGGCTGAATGACTTTCTTTGAGCAGATGTAACGAGGCATTCCGTATACCATGGGTTCCCAGAGTAACACCAAGGAGCTAGAAAATAGTCTTTGGGAACTTTCCTAACAATTCTATCAGAAACATTTACAGATCATACCAAATCCATCCATTTGTCTTGTTTGAGTCGTTAATACAAGAACATCTGAGTAACGTGGTACGGAAACATCATAACGTCTAAAGGGGAACACGACGCGTCCGACTCCATGACCAACAACCTAATCGAAGTAATGGTTCACCAGAGGGTCATACGTCGCGTTCCCATACGCACTACCTCCATAATCCAAGTACCCTGCGACGTACGGCTCCGGCACTCTGTCGATAATGTCATCAGCATCTCCAAACACCCAAGCAGTCTGCATACCCATAATTCTATGGGCAAAGATATGGCAATGCATCATCCAGACGCCCGGCTCAGAAACATTAAGCCTCCAAGCTCGCCAACCAGCCGTGTTATTAGGTATCCCCGAAGTCGCGTAGCGATACTGCATTGTTGTATCTCGCAACGCAGGAGTCCATCCAATCTCTTCGTACAAGGCGTCCAGCTTCGCGTTGTTTTCTGTGGCGTTGTACGTTCCATTACCAGAACCGAGGTCCCAGTAATGTCGGCCGTGCGCATGGAAGGGGTGGATGTCCCATCCGCCACTCGGACCATTATTGTTCTCCCAGACTATGTCGATGATTTCGCCGATTTTGGCTGGGTATGCTAGAGACTTGGGGTCCCACCCGTAGTTCTGCAACGCTGCGTTGTAGTCTGGAATCGCGGCCTCCCCTCGCTGGTATATGTCGGTCAGATACGGGACGGTGATATTCGATTCTTTCCAGATGTTGTTGTTTTGTGTCCATTGCGTTGTGCCGTTGATCTTCTGTTGAACAGTGATCACGATGGTACGCGTAACGGAGGTGGCTGGAGGGAAGGGGTCGGAGGATGGATCTAGAGGTGACAACGTGTACTCGAGCCAATCCGTGATGTTCTGAGGCAGCTGGAGCGGTTTGGTTTCGGGTAGAGTGCTCGGTGTGTTGTTTGATCCTGGCACATTGTACGATAGTAGCGCGTAACCGGAAACATTCGCAGGCCGATCGCGATTTTCGTATTGAATCCAGAATGAAGTTTTGTTCAGTGAGCGTAGCTCAGCAAGTGTCTTGGTCTTAAACAAGATCGAGAATCGTTGACCTGGTGCTACTTGCATGTGATCTGCATCTGCGGGTTTCGTAAACGATCCATCAGCTTCGATGATCGTGAGATTATCATGATTCTCAAAACCAAGAGTGACAAGCGAGATAGCCTGTTGACCTACAAACCTCATGCGATACGTGCGTTCTGGCTCCACTAGGACATTATGCGGCAAGCAGCTGGCATCCGAGGCGTTACTTGCCTGTGCGGATCCACTCTGGCCATTGATCAAGATGGCGTTCGTTTCTCCGCTCCACACAAAAGGGTTAGCCACTAGACCCGTTTCGATGGTGGTGTCCGTTTTGTTGTAGTAATCTTGCAAGGTCAGGACGATGTCCTCGTCATAGTCATATGGCTCTTGTTCGCAGGGAGTTACGATCAGGGGACCACTTGCAGTGACCTCCTGAAATCCGATATGCGAGTGATAGAAGTAGGTCCCTGCATCTCCAATCTCGGGATGGATCTCGTAATCGAAAAATTGTCCAGATGCTACAGGCCACTGGCTCGCTTGCGGGGTCCCATCGGAGTATGGAGCGACTCTCGCCGTCAGCCCATGCCAGTGCTGATGATCGGCAGTCAGATCAGTTTCTCAAATACCTCTACCGTGCTCAAACTTACGACTGTAAGATTTGTGTCAGGAATATGATTGTAGACTCTGATCCACGACGTTCTCCCTTCCTGGATGTATAACGAAGGAGCGGGAGTTGAGTCATTGAGTAGGACTGAGTATCGAGACTCGCAATTTATGCTGACATTTCTCGCGGTCGCCAAAAGCACGTGATCAGGCTCAAAGGAATGACCATGTCGCTGGGGAACGGCTAAAGCTGGTGGCGTGAACAGATAAGCGAACAAGGCGAAACCGCCCGCTGAAAAGTGTGTCAAAAACATTGTCTGATCAGTAGTAGTTGACATAGACCCCATCTAGATATATGTAGATCTTAGATTTGCCTACATTCGACGATCTGTGTAGGTAGAGCTTGCTGATGGACGCCTGGCGGGTGATGTTCGCATTCCTTCCCGCAATTGCATCAGCCTCGCCTAGTGCTTATGTTAGCTGCGTGGAAGAATTTCATTTTGGCCCCAGGATATGGCGTTGACCAGATACTGCGCTTTGATTGATTCGAATACCTCGTAAAATGTCCCTATCGGAGTGTTCCATTACAAAAAACTTGGAAATGAGAAGTTCGTCATCATCTAGTGTCTAGTGAAGCATGTGTGATTACAGTATATCTGAGCCGCTTCTGCGAATCGAAAGACGTATGACGACCGCAAGGAGTTGGTGGAGCGCATGTAAGGGGGCTTTGTCCAGTGCTTGGGCAAGTGGCTCAAGTACCCTTCATCCTATAATTTCAGACGCACTCTAGCTGAAATCGTGTGGAGTGCGGAAAGGTGAGGTCTATACAGCGTTCATGATTATCTCCCATTTGCGCAATGCCCAATAAGACTTGTATCAACGTTGGGAGAAGGATGGTTGTAGCACATCTAGTCGCTATCAGAAACACTGCATTAAAATAAACTTACAGAAACTTACAGAAACGTGTAGAATTGCAGGCTACCTCTCGGATCACGGAACAGTATTGAAATACGCCAAAGCCGGGCCTCCTGCAGATGTTCGGCGAGTACAATGATTTTAGGCCACAACGAGGGAAATATCTCGTAAACCAATCGGTCATTTCGTCGCTGCTCAATTGGTTTCACCAATGGCGGATCAAATCTGCTGCCTTTTGAGTCCAACGTGGTTTTGTGCTCTCTCGTAATTTTCCGCCGCAGTCCTTCTTCGTCTTCCAGATCATCTGCTTTCGATAGCGATAGGCTGAACACGACCAACACAAGCCGAAGCGCCGAAGTTAATTACGAAGTCTGGCGTGTATTAGTGGGTCCGACCATGCACCAAACCTTGGAAAGTCATTGAGTACGATTCCTGTATTTCATGAATGGCCTTAGCCGGGTTTCTGGGAGCTTGCCGAGCTTATACAGGTGGAGCCGAAGACACTGACCCGTCAAGAACAGACTACATACTCCAGGATATTTCGCCGGGCTTCATAGGAGAATTGAAACATGCGATAAAGCAAACGAAAAAGGCACAGTATTGAGATGACAGTTGGTTGAATAAAGGCTCTGCTGCCGTTTTCGAAGGCTAATCAGTAAGTCCCAAGGCTCGGGCAAGCGCGCTACGGGAGTCTTCATCTGGGGAGGTATTCTTCGGTAGGGCCATGTAGGAAAGAGATCAATGGGACAAGGTCTTGGTCCGTAGACAACGAGGAGAATGATGCAAGGGTATCATAATGTCCGATGCCTTGAGGTGATGCACGAGGCTGACTCTCGCATTGCCTGCTTCTCCCCATGTAAGCAAATGACCCATCCACTTTCGCAGCGTAATAACTCACGACTTACAAGGAATTTAGCTTTATGATCTTAAAGGTACAATAGCGCGCATATAAAGAGTTAAGTTGGCTATTTTTATTAGGATAATCTTTGTAACTAGGTAAGTAACGTTGTGGTGTAGAATTGTGATGTTCTCGCTTACATCCGGAGAAGCAGGCAACGCGAGAGGCTGACTCTAGGGCTGATGTCGGGGTTTGAACGATGCTAAGCTCACTGCGGGCAGCTAATGAGCCTTATCGATAGCGGACCTTTGTGGAGGAGCATTCTTCAACGACGACGCTTCGTCTCCCATACACTCGTTTACCTTCTTTGACTCTAGTGCAAGTGTTTAGCACAGTACAATGTCCCTACAACGCGATAATACCATGTTCGCATACACAGCTGTTGAAGAAGGCTGACATTTCCAAAGCTGCTGCCTGCTGGCCAATATGCTGTGCCTCACCTAGATCTAATGAAAAGACCATATTACATCTTCTCTAGAACAAGTATCTCATCTCCAAGACGAGCCCCTCAAGAACCGCCCAATCGAACCATAAGCTACAAATTCTGGACATCGGAGATGGTCTACCTGAAGAAGCCCTGGGAGTCTATCCGGCACTTCTATTACTCTCACAAAAGCATCAAGAAATGTATCAAGATCCTCGCATGTCCTTTCTGCTGCGTGTGCTACACGATCGAAAACTTCTCCTTTCGATGTGGCAAAGTGCGTGCAGATAAGAAGAAAGCCGAACGAGCAGGGGCCTTGAGCTCGATTGCGCAAAGGCGACGAGAACGAGCGCTGAAATCTCGAAAGCGCAGTCCGTCAGTCGATCGCTCAAAGTGGGGAAGGAAAAGATTAGCGCTAGACCAGGACCAGTCCCCATTGTTCGGCAAACTCCCAGCCGAACTGAGAGTTCAGATCTACGAGATGGTGTTTCGCGGGCCAGGACGACTGCATATACGCTTCCAGCCAACGCGTTACGAGAAAGACAAGATGAGGCTTACATCGTACTCATGCCCCGAAGGATACAATTGTAACCATGGACCATGTCACTCGTCCATTCCGCGGCAAG